AGAAAGGGCGAGAGACAGAGCGGCCGATGTTCATGAAAAATATTTAAGGTGACGTCTATGGAAGATATTATAGATGAGGTAGTCACACAACTATTAATCCAAGATTTTGGGATTCGGTTTATCATTATAGTGGCAAGGATAAGTGTTCTAATGCCTGTAATTTTTGGAAACAAGTGGGAATCCTTTGGGAAACTTCATTGTATGACACATTTATAGGCAGGGATCGATCACTCGTGCGGAGTCATTATCGACCCAACGTCTTCAATGCGTCGCTCAGGCGTTTTGACACAGGTGTTTTAGATAGCATCAACTTCAGCGTAGAACGACGGGGATGTGATGAAGTATCCAGCTTCTAGTGTAGTCTGTCGGATATTTAAAGTGATTCTAATTACATATTTTCTCAGAAAACAATATGCTACATGAGGCACGTCAGTTTACAGGTCTGATCAAATTGGTACAAATACTACTTAGTTAGGCTGATATGATATAAGGCATTTTGGTTATATAAGCAGATGATAAATTTTCAAACATTATAACATGGATGTTAGTAAGACTCCAATGTCCAATACGAGAGATATCGGGTTTTCTTAAGGCCGCGTCGTGACAAGCAATTGGTGTTAGAGAATGAATAAAATTAAGGTTCAGAGCAGTCGTTCGGTGACATTGACGCATTATTTGGTGCTTCTTGATAATGACCCCATGTAAATTCAGGGTATAACGGTGCAGGACGAACTCATATGTTCAACATATGCTATCTGTGGTATACCACAAGAATGCTAATAAAGAGGTGAACAGTGAAGGATGAGAAATAGGACAGACAGGGTCCATAAATGCAACGGTGGTTCCCAAAACTTTGTGGGTGATTGGAGCCTCGTTACCAAAGCTGTAAAGGATCGAGCGTCACCGTTTAAGAAGCTGAATGTCCCAAGAATTGTACGGAAATCGACTGATGATTTGGACTTACAGTCTATTCCCAAGAATGTCTGTCCGGTCATAAAAGAGCATAGGAATCAGGAACTCGCTTCGACCTCCAAACAACAAGGTCCTAAACCTGAGCGCACCGGAAAACCTGGGAAGGCAATAACGGTTCGTGACGATTCTCTCATAATCATGAACCTTGAAGACATCCCTGATCTTTCCCTCAGTTTGCAGAACAAAAATGATAGTACGCCCTGTGTAGAGTTAAACAAGAAACTTGAACTTCCCGAAATAGGGCCTTTGACGGTCACACGACTCGCTTGGGGAAAAATCATCCGATGCTACTTCGTGTCTCACCCTACTAGCTAGTCACTTATTGTTTAGTGGGATGTCACGAACTAATGGTATTGATGCTGATTTATCACGCAAAATACCTCTTTAAATCGTGTTACGAACGTTTAATCGGTTTCACTTCCTACACAGAAATCCTATTACAAGCAAACTAGACAATTTGCTTATATACGAAGCCTACTCAAGACCCTATAATACCTGAAAAAAATAATACAAAAAAAAACGAAAGGGGCTCTAGTAGCTTCGATAATAAAAGGAAGACAGCCAATTGTATATCGCAATACTGTTTCTAGCACTTTATTTTATTTTATAATCACACACAATCCCATACTCTCAGCTCCTTTCCGAATCGCCTCCATTTGTCAGCTGTATGTCCACTCACACCTTGTTAACACTTATTTTCTTTAACCTATCAAAATGCTCTTTCGTAACAAATACCTTAATAAAAGAAAATTGGACTGAGTAATCATACCTTAAACATTCCTTTATGAATATTGGCCGCTCTGCCTCTCGCCCTTTCTTTTACTTGCTCCCTCTTTCAGCCCCCTTGAGATATGGAACGGATGACTTCATCCTGCACCATACTTAAAGCCTTGGATTTTCCGAAGGGACATAAGGTTGCGATTTCTAGAAGCTCATACCTTCAATCGATCTATTTTTGACCATCAGTTGCACATTCGCAACGCAACTTTCATGAAGCGCGCCAACTGTGATACTGACTAAAACCATCTACATTCATATCTTAAAAATTATCAACCCAGCTATGTAATTTACTACAGTGGATATTGTATCATTCGTATCAATTTGATCTTGCCTGTAAACTGGCATGCCTCATGTAACAAACTGTTATTTGAGAACAAATTATTATTATTATCAAACCTGATGAAAACGTAAGAATACTGCCTGGCATACCGTATTCTGAGCGCAATCTCATCCATAAAGAATCTCGCGAGAAGTTCCTCCGCGAAAATAATATCATTTTGCAAGGTGTACCAGAAAACGCGGATCCTGTTCACACAAACTCTGATATTAAGGAATGGAAATTCATCAAGCAATGCTTGAAGCCTGAAAACATACTGACTCAACAAGTGACAAGACTACCCAAGGAGGATGGAGATTGTAAACCGCGGCTAATGAAGATAACTTTCCTATCCTACACATAATAATAATAATAATTTATTCTCAAATAACAGTTTGGTACATGAGGCATGCCAGTTTACTGTCAAGATCAAATTTGAAAATATTTCGTTCCAACAGACGTCGGCTACCAACTGGAATCTATATGCATCTAGGCCGTTACAAGACCACATGACGCCAGGATCAAGCTCAAAGGCAAGTTGGAGCTAACCATTGCACTTGTGGACTTTCTCGATCATAAAAAACGTGTAAAGGACAGGGGTTATCAATTCGGAAAACCTTGTACAGGTAGGCTACCTGTCCATTCAAATAAGGCTCATGCAGACAAAAGGAAGGATAATTGAAATCATAAACTGCTTATACATGAACGCAGCGAGTTCGCCAAATAAAATGGATGAGCTACGTGATCTTAGCCATGCTAATAACGCTCATCTGATAAGAATATCTGAAACTTGGATATCTTCTCAGGTCACAGACCAGGAGCTAGCAATACCCGGGATGTCTTTGTTTCGCAATGACAGAAAAACAGGAATTGGGGGTGGAGTAGCCTTGTATTTACGATCCTAGCTGGAGACACATCAATTGCCCAATCAAGAATTCATCAATCTTAATGAATCCATATGGTGCTCAGTAAGATTGTCTACCACCTTGAAGTCATCTACATCAAGCCCGCTGCTGACATTGAGTACGACCATGTGCTGGGAGGATTTCCAAATGTACAAGCAACCTACGATCATCAAGAATCTCACTCTTCTTTTGATAGGCCGCCGAAGACACTGTCGGGCAGAATACAAACGAACTGATAACAACGGCGCGTAAAGGCAATGCAAACATATAAAGAATATATACACAAAGACAATAAGAGAGGACAGGCTTCAGTACCAGGTAAAGCTTATGAATAAGTTTGTCTTCAATCCTAAAAGCTTATTCCGTTATGCAGCCTCTCTTCGACAAGCAAAAACTGGAGTTTCTCAACTGCTAGGTCCTAATGGCTCGACCAATAACGACGGTGACGTCACGAACCTTTTGGCTGAATAATACTTCCGGACATTTCAACCGACCCACATCAACTTTACTGATGAAAGCTTCATCTACAACTGCCCGGGTACGGTTCATTCTGCTATACTGAGGGAAGCAGCCTCAATCCTGGCAACAACGCTTAAAGTGATGTCCTCACACACACTAAGCCGAGGCAAGCTACTGGAAATTTGAAAGCTGGCTCACATTACACCAATTTGTAAAGGTGGTCGACGCAGCGAACCTTCGATCTGCTGACCAGTGACCCCTCTCTCTATACCTGCAAAAGTTATGAAGTCCCTGATATGCTATGGTATACACGACTATTTATTATCCATAAATTTTTTTACACCCAACAACACGGTATCAGCAAGGGTTATTCTTGTATAACAAACCTGGAGAAGGTTGAAGTTATTTACTTTGACTTATCAGAAGCTTTTGATACGGCCAAATATGTATGTCCTAACAATAAGCCCAAATGATTGACTAGCTCTCTTCATATCTAAAAAAATCGACATTCTGAGGTCAGGGCTAACTTCACTTTCAGGTTATGGAATGTCCTATTGAAATCCACTAGGGCTCAGCACTAGGACCTCTTCTTTTCTTAGTTTATATAAACGATCTTCTACAACAGCTATCACCTGATTTATTGGTTTTGCTCATGATGTGAAACTTTGGAGAGAGGCGCAACCAAGGGGGTATACTGGCAATTCAGGAGGGTCTGGTTAGACTTCAAAGTTGAGCAGATGACAACAGACTAACCTTTAACCCTTCAAAGTGTGAAGTAGTTCATTTGTGACATGTTGCAGACTACGGTTACGACTTAGGAAACTCCTTTCAAGAAGTGTCTCAAGTTGATGAGGATTTAGGGGTGCTGGTACCCTACGATTCGAAGTCTTACGTTAGCTGTGAAAAATGCCTTTCGAGCAAACCTTTCACTGGTAATATTGAAGCACATTTTCGGCTAGTTTGACGTTAGAAATTTCCACATAATTTTCAACAGTTTTATTCGCCTCCATTTAGAGTACGGAAACAGTATTTCCTCTCTCACTCCAAAAGCATTAGGATACTCCTGAACATATCCAACGGTAAGCCACGAAATCAGTTCGTTGACTCAAATTCAAGCCTAATGAATAGCGCCTCCATTTACTAAACCTTTGCCTATTAGAGTATTGGCGTCTTAGGGATGACCTTTTGATGGCTTAAAGTATCCTTAACACTTTTGGACATCCTCTTAAACATCGACTTAAGCTTAGCTCCAACACAAACCTAACACCCAGAAACTGGAGACGCAATTTCTACTCCTTAAGAGTGGTTGAATGCCAGAATTTGCTTCCGGCTGAGTTAGTCCAAGCGACTTCTCAGGAGTCCTTTAAGAGGAAATTCGATCTATTCTTAAGAACTAAGGTTATCATCTTACTATGATTTACCATTTTTTCCTCTATTATCGTTAATATACCTGGGTTGCTGCCTGGAGGTATTGGTGATCCACTGTTACTAGATATGGAAGCCTGTTAAGCGAAAGCTTCTTCTATTCCGTCCACAACCATTTGAACCATTTGAAACGCTATAAAGTTTGACCTTGAGATGATCGAACATATTCAAAAATCGTACATGAGTTCGTGGTCAGTTGGTAATAACCTAATGCTTCAACCTTCTCTTCTTATATTGTATTGAACGTCTAAATAAATGATGTGCTCGGCTTATGAGTCTTTCTTAGCTTCTTTTCAAAGTAGTGTTGTTTCTGATATTCAGATTTTAAGTAGTTATTGATCAGTCACGTTGTTTTTATTTTGGTCTGAAATTTCTACCGTAACCAGACTCTACGCTCTCCTGATCAAACTATAGTTAGATTCTGTTGGGTGAAGGAACTAGAACGAGGTTCGAACTACTTCATGTTGCGTCGTTGCTTGTGATATAAATGATCAAGAACATATATTAGTAAGTATATACTTACGGGGCGAATCTTGAAATAGTTGAATGTACGGTAGTTATGGTGCATCTGATATTTTTAGAGCACAGATGCTATACGTAATATCTATGTTCAAAAGCTGCGAATTGTTTGACAAATACGTATCTACGACGAGCAGAATTCAAAAAGCGTCCCTGTTTAAATCTAAGTAAAGTGAGTGAAAAGATGTGGAAATCAAGCAACAATGCATGTAATCGTTCGCCATATTCCAAATGAAATTTACTATATGGTAAAAATGCTTGGATGTAATCACAGAATAACTTTCAAGTATTACTGGTTAAAAGGTAAAAGTTTTTGAGGCGCTTTTGGTTTAATATTGCTGATAAAAAGCTCTCAGAACTTCCCATTTTTAAGATGACTATAAACCCAGTCATATATTCGAATGAATTAAAGACAGTATTAGTCAAGGTAATATGGAACATTTACCCACTAATTAAATTAAAAGAAGGCAGTATTTCTTAGATGACCAAAGTCAGTGTAAGAAAAACCACCCACATGAACAGGCTGTCACGAAAATTCCAAAAATTCCTAACTATTTACCTCAGTTAGTTATGTTTTATCCAACTGAGACAGCCTGGACAATGTCTTGAATCCAGCTTTATTTTAAGAAATACTAGAGATTACCATGCATTGTTGACATACATTCAAGATGCCACATGTGCAACAAAATTTTGCATATCTTTCCTAATTAATAGTGATGCTTGTTTGGTGCTTTTTAAACATTAGGTCTGTGGCCATAATGCAGCTTTTACTTGTTATGTTGTTTGTATCTTAGAAGTCCTCTTGTTAAACAATTATTTTATTTCACTTTTATGGTTACTATTTATCAGAATCTAAAAGTCCGATTTCTGTTCTATTTCGTTGTTAGCAGCAAAAGAGTTTTGAAATCTTGATGTATCTGTTTCTTCTTGCAGGCATTTGACCTGGCTTACTAATAACGACTGAAAGTGAATTGATTCTATGAGGACTGTTTTATGTTCTATGATAAACTCAGGCAGCTGATTGGCCAATATATTCAGGAATTTTACAACATAAACTGATCCGTAAACAACTACCTATTGTAACTCATTACAAAACCTAGCTCGTTATACCTCCATATCGTTTTAATGAAAGTGCACTTAAATTATGATGGATTTTACTTCTCCACTATTCAATAAATTTCGACAATGGAACTATTCGGATGTATTGGTAAATCCTGGAATACTTGCTTACATGTATAATGAGTGGCTAAAAGCATAATTCATCTATTACTAAGCTTCCCCAAATCGTACACTTGAGGATCCTGGACGTAGTTTGCTGATTGACTAGTTTCAAGACTGTTCAACTGACAGATTTTGACACACTTTTTACATGGTATTAGTTTTCAATAGACTAAACTAAAACTTTACAGACAGGTTGAAACCAATTCAAGATTTACGTCCTCGGCATTCTGCAGGTTATCTCTAATCCCATAGCATCATAACGTAGATTTAGGACATTTGAACTGATGAGTGGCTTAGTCTGAAAAAATTGACTATCAATGGTTAGTAGCGTAACATGATATTAGTCACTCCCCACTGTTAAATCAATGTTATAATCCACACTGTTAGTCGAAATTAGAACACTGAGTAGCCGCTGTGGTACTTGCCTTACTTAAAAAATTTATCATCACTTGTACCATCAAAATGAGTTTTTTTAGCTGAACAGACAACACTTGTTCTGTTTTATCTCGGAAGTTACTGTTAAGTCAGGTAACGAATTATTTTTAATCCAATTATATTAAAGATAATATGTACAAAACTTTTATTGTTAGTTTTATGCTAAATCGAATTCTAATGTCTTCAATAAAAATATAAACAGCATTACATATTTGTAAGTAATTGCAATGATGTAAAATTTTGAATCTATTCCAAGTTTTAACTTATAATTATGATGGTTTAGTATTTATAAACTAGACCAACATTCTTGCAACAATTATACAATATAGTATGTTATATGAAATAAATTTTATACTTAAGTTTTATAAAAATAAGAAAACAATGTTAAATTGTTACCCTTTTATTGATCAAAATATTGTCATATATGTATGTATAGACACTAATATGAATATACATCCAATCAAACAAAGAAATATAATACATACAAGCATATATTGTAAAGAAATAAACAAATACCTCCAATTGGACTATGAAATCACAAATATTGTTTCATTTTAACTGATTCATAGTTATCTTACATTGAGTGGTATATATTTTGAAAAAAACACATCTAGTTTCTATGAAATATGCACATTCATTTTATACATATTTGACAAGGTTCAATATAGAAATGGTAAATATTTGATTTTCTGTTCAATAAATATTTCATATAGTTTTATCGGTAAGAATTATTTCTTGCTTATTTCCTAAACTATCCAATCTCAGTTTTTATTTCCATTGTATAATTGTTGAGATATACAAACTAATACGTTTGTGAAAATAATACCGATTTTAGGCTGATAATTTAAAACAGCTTTATAGAGATTGTTTAAAAGAAAGTTAGTTGACAGTATAAAATTACCTCAAGTGAAGTAAAATCTTTGGGGGAATCGTGGATTTTGACTGTTGAAAAGTTTTATAATATCATGAAACACATGTCATGTACTTTGTTTTTTCACTGTTTGACTAGTATAAGTCAGTTTATGATGTAATCTTCCAATATGATATAGTATATTTTAAGTAATGAGTGAATATTTTTAAAGCAGTTAACACAGTGTAATGGGAAATATATATCTGCACTTATCACATAGTGAAACTCGTATTCGTGAATAAAACGTGTATAGGATCTGTTCATAGTTTTGGTTACATTTGAACTGTTTTACAGGTGACTATTTGTAACACAAGCTAGATTTATCTAGATATGCCTTGAGATTTTCTGATATTATTAACCGGTGTTTTTAACATTGAAGTGTTTCACGTTTGTGTTTGAGGTAACTAAATTCCTGTAGGACAAAAATGTACATGTCATGTATATAGTTCCCTTTATTATCTTAAAGAGAGCAAGAACGAAGATTGGTGCTCTCTTTAAAATGCATACACTTTTTGATTATCGAAAACTGTTTAACCTTATGTTTTGTCTACTTCTTGGAGCTGACAAATAAGCCGGTTTAACTGCTAAGTAGAGTTCGATTAGCTCTAACAGTTCAAAAGAATTTAACACTGAGTACAATTCAGTTATCCCTTGCTGTAAGTAAAAGAAATACAGGTCATTTTTGGCTTATTGAAAAAAAGTTTCCTCATGGTAGAGTTCGTTATCTTTGGTTTATTCCATTTCAGATTTAATGGTGCAATCTGTCCAATAAAATACAGACAATCATATACATATATACATCTTTCATATGTATTAAATAACATGCATATAACAATGGATGAATCTAATAAGGAATTAATTAATACTGTACCACATTCACGGGCAAAAACACGACCATCTGGAAAATGTACATTAGCTAGGAAACGTTTAAAACAAGTGTTTAATATGAGAAAATATTATTTATCAGTTATTGGATTGACAGGTTTTGAAGCATTATTAGTATTATGTCGAGTGATATTGGAAACAGAATCATTACGTTTACCTGTAAGTATGTAATATTTGTAGAATAAATAACATTATTACAGTTTTTGCAACGATTGTAATCTTTTATAGTACAGTTTTGAATAATGTTTTTACTATATAATGAACACATAAATCCAAGCGATACTGATTCATACATATTTAGAAGTTGTTTACCAACATAGGTCTGGTCACATCTATTTATAAATATCAACATGCAGAAGATTTAAACCCTCAAAGATTACGACGAGACCACATTGAAGAAAGAATGCATTAATTCATGGATGTCGTATTGAAATGACCCAATGATATTCATTAATAAGATGATTCGTCGGCAATAAATCCTAGCACCCGTGATTAATTCTACAACTAATCAGCTATTTAATTACTCACTGCACTTTTTTTCTAATTTCCCAATGATTATTCAGTTTTAATGGTATTTTCATATGTTCCGTGCCTAAATTACTAAAGAAAATAGGTTAATACTATATCTTGGTTATCTGAGAGGTTTCCGATTGGAAATCTGTAACTTTATAAAGTTTTAATACTAAACCGATTCTACCAGAGGAACCATTGGAAATCAGAGATCACTTGTATACCTGAAAGCACTGGACAGCCGTTTCGTTCTATAATGGGACTCCTCAACAATGTACATTCACGACCCGCCTCGCAAGATTCGAGCCTAAAACCTATTGGTTTCGCGTACGAACGATTAACCTTTAGATCACTGAGTCAGCATCCAATGGTGTTAACTAAGCTGGGTAATATATGTCAATGATTTGCTAATACTATAAAAAAACAGACTCTTTTAATAAAATTAATATAGTCGTGAAAGAGAATACAAGTGGTGACAATAAAATATATTTGAATGCAAAATTACAGAGCATCTTAGTAAAAACTGAGAACCGTATAGTAATACCTTTATTTACAAAACGTCAATCAATTGTCCCAGACTTCTTTGTTCTTTCGATTTCACATTAATCATTCTTTGTCCTCGTTCTCTTTTTGTTTTTTTCATCTTCTTAATCTTCTGCCTCCAGACATTTCACTTTCGGTTGATGATACATACTACTTGTATCAATCGACATCAGTAGCACACATACACACACACCACAATATTACGGATAAGTATAGTCGTGATATCTAAGGCTTTATCAATTACATATTAACTATGGGATAATTCGGTAGTTATTTGAGTTAACGTTTAACTCTATATACATAGTATAAAAGGTTATAAGAATGTAGAGTACTAGCGATAAGGCGTGCTAGACATGAGTAATTCTTCGTTCTTATAAAATTTATAGTAAATTCGACACTACATAGATTAATGTATGATTTAGTTTGTGAGTAATTGTTTATGTTTTTCAATTACTACTTAATGATCATTGTCTTACTTTATGTGTATTTCTTTTTCTACAGCCCGGAAATACTCAACGATTAATTTTAGAAGGTCAATTAGCTTTAGAATGTTTAAGTTTATTTACATTGACATTATTTGTTGTGGAAGTTCCATTTAAAATATGGGCTATGGGAATTCGTCAATGGGGTCGTCAATTATTATTTATTATAGATGGTCTTGTATGTGCAGTTTGTTTCTCATTAGATATCTATAATATTTATCGACATTCTAGTCGATCATTAAGAGGGATTACATCATCAAAAGTTTTAGAATTATGTAATTATTTACATATTACTTCACAAGCAGATACAGCTTCAACATTTGCTGAAATCTTTGGTCTTATGATTGTTTATAGATTATGGTATATTAAAAGATTTATAAAAAGTAAGTATTCAATTTGTATTTGTTTTCATTGTATTTATTGTGAATTATTAGTATTCTTCGGATTTATCTACATTATAACCGCTATCAATAAGATGTGCTAAGATAGAACTGCGTATTGTTTTTATCTATCCCTTCATAAACCAGGCTAGTAGGTGTTCACTCATTCGTTGGTTAAGTTGCCTGATAGTATGCCCGATATAGCTATCTCCACAGGAGCAGCTGAATTTGTAAATGAACATTGAGGAGGCCAACTCAGGTAACTTATCCTTCGTTTGAGTAGACATCGCTGGTCGACTCAAGAAGGTGAACGCAAGATTGACTGCGTAGAATGTCCTGCTAATTACTTTCGTTAACCTATCATTCAGAATATCACTGGCCATATCCTCCGTTGAATTGTACTTGTTTATTTTGTACTTTTTGAAATGTATAAGTGTTTTCTCAATCAAACTGTTTTAATTCATTATGTAACTTAACTCCCCAGAAATTGGTGTAATCCTTTATCAATCTTTCATTCTATATAATGATTAGAACAGTAATAACGTGAGTTATAAAGATGACTTTAGAAGAACAATGAATTTAGTGTATTTTAAGTTTTATGTTATTTGAATTCTAGCTGATATTAGTATCAGAGATGCTTGTTTTGTCTAATTTGGGACTAACTAGCTAGATGTGCTTTCATCCAAATGTTGTTATTTATACGGAAAAACAAATCCAATACTTATCGTTTAGGTTTTCAGCAGCAAAACAACACGTTGACGTTTGGAGCAATAAGTAATATCTAGGTAAAGACACTATCACCAGATATCAGGTATATCCAGATAACAAGTCTAGTATGAATCGAATTATCTGCTTTCTTGAGTGTTTCATATTTTTCATTTTCTTACATTTTTTTGGAAAATTTACTATTTAAATAATCAACATGTTTTATTATACAACAAATACTACTTATATGTGATCATTGATTTGATCAGTTCAAACAAACAAACAAGAGAAAGAAACATAATATTCCATAAGAATATAATTTTCTATATACGACCAGTTACCCAATAGGCATCATTGAAAATACTTTATAATTTTACATGTTAGAGGGAGTTTTGTGGAGATTTTAGTCATTTTCATAGTTGAGATCATGAGTCAATTGAAGCTCGACCACCATAGAAAACTTGGAAGTACTGGATGGCAATTTCGTCCTACTGTGGGACTCCTCAACAATGCACATCCATGATCCAGCTCTGTGAGATTCGAACCTAGGACTTATCAGTCCCGCGTATGAGAGCTTAACAACTAGACCACTGAGCCGGTATTCAACAGTACTAATGTCTAACTTCAATTAATCCACGAAATTGAGCGACACATCCATCATTGTTTTCACTGAGTTGCTATCTCACGACAGATCCGGTTGAACTCCCTTGATCACTGCTTCTCACTAGAACTCCAGAAAATACCTCTTGAACTCAATTCCTATAATATTTTAGTTTAGAATTATTGAAAATAATTTCTAGAATATTAGTAAGATTCATTTTAGATCTTGTTTAGAAATTAAGACTAAATTCGATGTCGAGTTGAAATGATGATTGAAATTTCGTATCTTTACTTAAATAAAGAAGATTACACTTACTTACTTACTTATGCTCGTTAACCCTCATGGAGGAGCATAGGCCGATCACCAGCATTCTCCATCCAACTCTGTCCTGGAAAATTCTTTCCAGTTGTTTCCAGTTGCTATTCATCCTTTTCATGTCTGCTTTCAATCCCCGAATCAGTGTGTTCTTTGGCCTTCCTCTTTTTCGTTCCCCTTTAGGATTCCAAGTTAACGCTTGCCTTGTGATGCATTTAAATGATTTCCGTAATGTGTGTCCTATCCACTTCAAACATCTTTTCCTATATATATAATTTTCAAAAATGAAATAATACTGATCGGGTGGATACGTTACGTAATAATTATGTAGTGACATATCGATTATAAATTGGAAGAAAGAGAAGTAATCATGATCAAAGTGATTATTTGAAAATCAAGCAGTTGCTACGTTGCATAATATATAAAAGAGAATGGAGACAGAATACTTTTTTATTTTGAGATCATAAACCGATTGATGTTAGACCACCATTGAAAACCTGAAAGCACTGGACGGCCGTTTCGTCCCATTGTGGGACTTCTCAACAGTGCGCATCCACAATTCCGGCCGCGGAATTCAAACTCAGAGCCTTCAGTCTCGCGCGCGAACGCTTAACTTTTAAACAATTGAGTCGGTATCCAACAGTGTTAATGTCTAACTTCAACCAGTCCACGAAGTTGGGCGACGATCTTCCATTGTAATGAGGTAGACACCTGTTTCTACCCGACACGGAATATTTTGATGAATCGTCAGTAATATAGTAGTTATGTAAGAATCAAGAAATGAATGTTGAGAATAAGTAAAATACAAAAAAATACAAAAAAACCACTGAAGAAATACGAGAATCGTTTATCATAGTTCTGCTACAAACTTCCCTATTATACTGATGGCCAAGGTAACGAGAATGATTATGCAAACCTCGTTTAAGTGCAAAGGCTAGGTTTGTGAACATGGATTGTAATGGCTTGAGCAATGTGCAAAAGACTCACTTGTTTACTGTTTGTTTGTTTGTTTTCTATGACAATCAACATTTTGAAATGGATAATACAATAAACATCAAATTTCTATTATGTCATAATGTTGTTCTATTCTACTATTTATAAATTGAAAATTAGTAGTAGTGAATGAAAAATTCTTCATAAAATGAGGGTAGTAAGAATAAAAAACAAACAAACAAGATATGTAGTAGTAGAATATGTAATAGAATGAATAATGCACAGTTTCTAATTGATTGAATCATTGTCAACATTTAAAAATTGATGATCTAGACCTTAGTTGAACTTGAATTGATTGATTCATCATAAAAGAATCATATAGATAGATAGATAGTTGACAAAATTCAGTTTTTATAAGTATAGGGTTGTAGAGATTATTAATGTTTTGATTGAGATCATGAACTGATTGGTTAGATCATCAATGAAAACCTGGAAGCACTGGACGGCCGTTTCGTCCTATTATTGTGAGACTCCTTAGCAGTGCGCATTTACGATCCTGCTCGCGGTATTCGAATCCACGGCCTTCAGTCTCGCGCGCAAACTCTTAACCTCCAGATCACTTAAAATATTGAAATACATTTCTGTTTAGTTCAGCTTTAATGGTTGATGAATGTAAGTCAGAGAAGATTACACAGTAAAATAAATTGTGGCTACTATACAAATGTTGTGAACTGATGCTAGTCAGATATATCTATGTATTTATAGTAACTGTCGATTCGCATCAAGTTTAACTATTGTATAAATAATAAGCATGAATATATATATATAGCGATCTGTTCAATTGATTGATCACTGCGTTGTAACTAATGCCACATTTGTTTAGTCTTTTAATACTAACTCACTTATATTTATGAACTTGCTAGTTGACACTGGTTTGAGAGAGCAGCAGTGTTTTTAGGTTCGTAAATATGTCTTTCTGATAAGTACTGGCAAAAACTGAATCTACGTCAAACATTGTGACCAGTGGAGTCCAACCAGATCTGTTGTGAGATAGTAACTCACTGAAGACAATAGTGGACGGTGGTTCGATTCCATGGATTGGTTGAAGTTAGACATTAAGACCATCGAATGCCGACCCAGTGGTTTAGAGGTTAAGCGTTCGCGCGCAAGACTGAAGGCTCTGGGTTCGAATCCCGCGAGCGGGATTGTGGATGCGCACTGTTGAGAAGTCCCACAATAGGACGAAACGGCAGTCCAGTGCTTCCAGGTCTTCAGTGGTGGTCTAACATCAAGGTGAAACTATAATTGATGGACGACCTTCGAGTGACGCTAGACTGACCTTGAGAGTATCCATCTGATAACCGGGACTAAATGATGGTTATAACCCTTCGTGAAGAATTAGAATTAGAATTTACAGTTGATGATTAAGGTTAGAAATTATATTTAGGGTGTTCATCACAAACTGACATCACTTATAATGCCAAAACTTTATTTAGCCAAATGGATGAGTGAATTTCGCGTCAAACTCCGAGACCTGTTATCTTGTACGTGATTGGTTCGTCCAAAAAATTTAGTTTCGCCTATTTCAAATTAAATGGCCTTTTTATTATAAACATACTAATTCATTGAATAATTAATTCAACAAAAGAATTTTCTCAAAGAATATATAAAAGTCTATAATTAATTTTGAATCTCAATCATCGACTACTGACTAGTTGAACAGTACTGTGTATGATATGTTGCTTCCAGTAGTGAAAGCAATTCATAAGATAGAGTTACGGAAATAGAATGATCAAATGAACAGAACTTGTTGTTTAAACAAACTATTAAATAGGGTATATGGAACTATGGAACCACAAATTTTTTACCGATTTCTAGACTCGCTATGTCTAATGCATTGGTTAGTTTAGTCACAAACAGAGTTAACTTAATGATCGGTGTGCTCTTCGAAAGGTATCTGCTAAAAATAACAATGAATCATGCATTTTACTGAAGAAATGATATAAGAGTGTAAATTTATAGGCTTATTGACCTTACTCAAAATCTTGAAGTAATTTGAAGCTTTGCTTGGCTTATAATTGTCTTCTGTGTAATAAACCTTGTGGTGCTTGTGGAATTAAATATATTTTCCTGACTGAATCTTGTCTTCTTCCTCTAGCTGATAGGTCTCGAGCGCAGAGGAATAGTTTAGTTTGTCCTTTTATTTCATTGCTGGTTTTCGTTTCGTTCGCTGGTCCAAGGTGATATCATTATAATCTCTTAGACATAGGATCCATATACAAAATGTTTTAGCTCATATTAAGTTCATGATGAATGTTAATCTAAAACTATTCATTTTTCTACACAAAGATTGAAATAAACTGCCAATATATTAAACTAGTTGATTGTAACACTGATGTACAGTAAGGATATATGTCTGAATAAATGCATATTTGCAGATACATATCAT